CCCCCACATAGCCATTATCTCATCACATAGAGCCTAATAAGTTATATCTATATATCTAACTATCTAGATTCTAGATCTAGATCTAGAATCTAGAGAAATCTAGATTCTAACTCTAACTCGTGTTTCGTAATCAAAAGAAATGAAATTCGGTTTCGGAAAGCAGTCGGTTCAAAGTCCACCAAGAGATTACTAAACTAGATTCTCTAGAATTTTGAAGACAGGTGTAGATCTAAATGTTGTTCGTTGTTTTTGTCACTGTCAGAAAAAAACTTACTTTTTTACAGATGGGTTTGGACTCGGTGTGCTCGACAAAAATCTTGCCTGTCGAAGTCCGGTAGATCTATTACCAAGTCGTTGAGACAAACGGGCAAAGTTCAGAGCCATTGTTGATCAGCGTAGTAGCAGTTCGTTTGCACTCAACTGCAGCTGGCTGGGGAGTAGAGTCTAGGCCTAGAAGGCAAGAGGAACAACACGAACAAACGGTCGCGTCGACAGTCGACAGCGCAGATCGGTGAGGCAGGCCGTGGAACTAGAAGTAGGTCAAGTCGAAGACTATCAGCAGAGCAGGGAAGTATCACCGTGACCTATGACCGAGTTTTTCTAAACTCTGGTGACCTTTCTGTGGGTGACCCTAACAGACAGGGACAAACAACTGAAACAACCCGGTGGGCCCAGAGAAAAGGGGAAATAACCCATTAATTGAGATCTGTAGAATACTGTAGATCATTACATCTCTAACTGACCAGCCCAAGCCAATAATTTTTTATTGTTATTTACGGTCTCTTGTCTTAGCTAGCTTATAATATTTATGGTACATGGTTTAGATTTTTTTACTATAGAGTATCATGATATTCGATACTTATACTTGAATATAGATCAAGTGAAGATGTTCGATACGAAAATGGCTGAATGTTTACTATCGTCTTGTGCTCGTCTGACATAGATTCTAGAAATATCAAGAATACATAACATCATAACATGGTGTCAGAAGTGAAAAGGTTTGCCCACTTAAATGACAACAGGTAAAATAATTTAGACTTTGTTTGGTGATTCTTTATCTAGACTCTACATCTAGAGATCTAGAAAGTTCCGTGACAAACGCGCACTCAGGCAATCTAGCAGACGTCACGTCCTAGGTCTAGATTCTAATTCGTAAGCTCCGTGAATGAACCAAGGGACGCAACCAAATCAAAGTTTCCTATCTCTAAAGTCAACAAGTTTTATCCCCCTTTAGTGTGACACTAAATAAAACTGCCACCACCACATCCTTTGAATTTCAGAAATGAAGCAGGCCAGCTTGCTGACAAGTGGAAATTATGGAGGGAGACAATAACTTTATACGTAGATCTAGCAATGCATGACAAGCCTGAGAAAGGGAAATGGACACTCCTTGGGTATGGTGGTCCCGACTTTTGATTAGGCCAACTGGATATCGATACTGATTTAAATAGCCGGTATCAATGTTTTATGTTTTATCAATGATAGTATTCACTATCTTTGGTTTTATCAGTACATGTAGCCTATTCTAAGTCTAGGTCTAGATCTAGATCTATCTTGATCTAAATCTAGACTACAAAATGAACAGCATGCCTCCCCCCCTCCCCCCTCTGAATTTGACCACGATTAGTAGATGTTTTGCAATTAGGTTTGATAGGCTATCTTTCCATATCAGTACGCCCATCAAAAAGTTTAGAACCAGAAGTAATCGTCGGTGGGGTCAAAACTAGATCTAGCTAGATTCTAGATCTAGATAAAAATCTAGAGATTTTGGTGCTTTTTCGGTAGTTCCCACCCCCCTTATTTGAGCCCGACCTACATCTAGATCTAGTTCTATACGTTTGATTTGCGGCAAGCTAAGA